CCCCCCCCCACCCTCCTGCCGCCCCCGTCCTTCCCTAACTCTAAGCAGAGTCACTTTGTTGGTCTAGTAGTTTTTGTCTCTTTATCACTCCACAGTAGCCACACCCCTTTCTGTGTCCCTCCAATCCACAGACTTCATTTTCACCTCATTAGCATTTGCTGTTTGCCCTCACAGATCATGTTTTTCTCAGATAAACCCCCTCCCCAGGGCTCTCCAACAGTCTTTTTTTTTTTTTTTTTTTTTTTTACAAAGAAACCTTTCAGACTGCCTCCAAATATCTTCCTGTCACCGCCCATGCCTTATGGCACCGACGACCCATTTTCTATAGTCACAGCGCTTTCCATGACCATATGGACCTGGCTTCTTCCTGATATGTCTCCCTGAATCAGAGTAAAGTCGGACATCAGTAGAATCTGTGGAATGAATGAAAGCACAAACTTTATTATATTTCTCCCTCAAAGCCCTTCTCTGGCTCCCCAGTACTCCTGTGATAAAACAAAGCCAGAAATCTGTGGATCTTGCTAACTCTTCTGGTCTCCTGTCAAACCCCTCTGGCCCCAGCTCTGGTCCAGGCTATCCCCTTGCCTGAGAACACTGTTCCCTCTTTGCCAGGCCAACTCTCACCTACTCACCCTCAGTGCAAGCATCCCTGCCTGATAGACCCAGTGGCCCCTCTAAATCAGATCACCCTGCAGCCAGCCTCCTAGGCCCTCAGAAACTAGATCTTGGAAGCATTTGTCCTGGTCCCAATCTTGCTTCATTGTACAGTTATTCCCTTGTGGGTGGGTCTGTCTGTCTAGCCCAACTGGGCTTACGTAATAACAACAAGAGCTGATTCATTCGGTTCTTACAGACCTGGATTCAAATGTGATCCTGTGAATAGGACTATTAACACCATTCATAGATGAAGAACTTGAGCTAACCCCAGTAGCACAGGCCTGTAATCCCAGCTCCTCCAGACATGGAGGCCCGAGGAGCAGAAGTTCAAGGCCAGCTAGGGCTACAGAGTGCTCTCAAGGGTAGCCTAGGAAATTTGGTGAAACTCTATCTCAAAAAATAATGAGATGCCGGGCGATGGTGGCGCACGCCTTTAATCCCAGCACTCAGGAGGCAGAGGCAGGCGGATCTCTGTGAGTTCGAGACCAGCCTGGTCTACAGAGCTAGTGCCAGGACAGGCTCCAAAGCCACAGAGAAACCCTGTCTCGAAAAACCAAAAAAAAAAAAAAATAATAATAATAATGAGAGGGCTGGGGGTATAGCTTAGTGGTACAGTGCATCTCCAGCAAATGGGCATCCCTAGAGCCATTCCCTAGTAGTGCAAAAACAAAACAAAAAACAGCCATTATGCTGCACACCTGTAATCCTAGATAGGGAATCAAGAGGGATGGACATTTTAGGCCAGCTTGGGCTATATTGGACTATCTCAAAACAAAACAAAGCTACCATATCTAACAGCCACTTAAAAGCATGGATTTGAACCCTCCTGACTCAACTTGTGACTTCTGTCACCACACTGCATAAACGAGAACACTTGATTTGTCCCATCCCAGCTGTGCAAATAGGCAGGTCAAGTGGGTGGACCAATGCCAAGGGTTGGCACTGATTTGGTTGCTTGTTTCCACAGGCAGCACCGGTGACCCTACAGCTGCTCTTCTTGGATGGGGAGGAGGCGCTGAAGGAGTGGGGACCACGGGACTCCCTTTATGGCTCCCGGCACTTAGCTCAGATCATGGAGTCTATACCACACAGCCCTGGCCCCACTAGGATCCAGGCTATTGTAAGATCCATCCCTCTGGGCTCTGGAGGAGGAGGCAGGGAGTGGGGAAGGAGGGTTGGGTCAGTAGCATCGGACAGATTCAGCAGCCTCCAGTCCTGGACTCCTTCCCCCAGGAACTCTTTGTCCTTCTTGATCTTCTGGGAGCGCCCAGTCCAATCTTCTTCAGTCACTTCCCCCGCACAGCCCGCTGGTTCCAACGACTAAGGAGCATTGGTAAGGAGGGTAGGCCAAGGCCGGGGTAGGCCGAGCACCTGACCTCTGTGTACTCATTCAGTCTTCCCTCCCTAGTCCTGGGCTGAGAAATGAGGGCAAAAACAAACTTATCTGTGAAAGTTGAGTGTAGTGACTGTGAGACTAGCCTGGTTTCAAACCCTGGGTCTGCCTGGGCAAGACACTTCATCTCTCGATCCTCCTGCCTCTGCCATCTGAGTGCTAGGATTAAAGGCATGCGCACCACTGCCCGGCAAACCTCTATTTCTTAGATATAAAATAAGTATGGTGATAATGCTGATGAACATAGTTGTGAACTGGTCCTCATGGTGGTGCATGCCTGATATCTCAACACTTGCAAGGAGACTGCAAGTTGAAGGCTATCCTGGGCTACATAGTGAGTTCCATGTTAGAAGAAGCTGCCTGGTGGTGTCCACCTGTATCCCAGCACTTGGAAGGCTGGAGCAAGAGGATTGTGAATTCTAGGCAAGTCTGTATCAGCCTATATTGGTGGTGCATGCAGCACTTGGGAGGTAGCTGTAGGGCCGGAGGATAAAGATTCATCCTCAGCTGCATGCAGAGTTTGAGGCCAGCACACAGGTACATGAAAGCCTCTTTCTACAAAAATGTCAAAATGAATAAATAATTAAAAAACTAGGGACATTGGGGTCAGCAACATGGCTCAATGGGTAAAAGTGCTTGCCTCAAAAGCTGGCAGCCAGAATCAATTCCCAGAACCCATGTAAAGGTGGAGGAAGAAAACTGACTCCAGAGTTGTCCTCTGACCTCTACACGCACACCCTCCCAATCACACATAGACAAAGAAGAAATGAAGAAATAGAGGCATCTACTTCCGAGGCAGAAGGAATAAATGAGACTAGGAGTAGGAAATTGCCATGAAAAGAAACATGGTGCTGGAGAGATGGCTCACCAGTTAACAGCATGTGCCTATCCAGAGGACCTGGGTCCCAGCACCCACATGGGAGCTCCCAAGTGTAACTCCAGTTCTAGAGGATCTGATGACCTCTTTGGCCTCAAGAGGCACTGCATGCACGTGGTGTACACATATATACACTGTTTTTTGGGGGATCTCTGACTGCTGACTACTCTTGCTCTCCAATCCTGCCTCTGCAGAGAAGCGCCTTCACCGTCTGAACCTGCTGCAGTCTCATCCCCAGGAAGTGATGTACTTCCAACCGGGAGAGCCCCCTGGCCCTGTGGAAGATGACCACATCCCCTTCCTCCGCAGAGGTACTTGCTGGGGCCAGAGTTACAAGGAAGCCTCCTCCCCAGGGCTAGGGCCTGCTGGAAGTGGTCAGCCTTGATTTCTTCATCTGTAAAGTGGGGAGAGCGGGGGGGGGGGGCACGAATATGCAAATACACATCGAGGTTTGACTCAGAGCTGAGCCCACTGCACAGCAAGCCACCATGCTGCCTCTTGCATTATTCCATTTCTTCACTGATTCCTTCAGTGAGTGCTTCTACAGGTAGGTGTGGGGAGGGAGGAACTGGGTGTCCAATGGGCCCCAGATCACCTGTTTCTGTGCTTACACAGGGAAACATCCAAAGAGCAGGATCCCAATGAAATACAGGAGAAGTTTGCTGGATGGTGGCACGCGCCTTTAATCCTGTGCTCAGGAGGCAGAGGCAGGTGAATCTCTGCGAGTTTGAGGCCAGTCTGGTTCTACAGAACTAGCTCCAGGATAGCCAGATATACATAGAGAAACTCCGTTTCAAGAAACAAAAAAGGGTTAGAGAGATGGCTCAGTGGTTAAGGGCACTGGCTGCTCTTCCAGAGGTCCTGGGTTCAATTCCCAGCACCCTGTGCATAGCTCACAACTGTCTGTAACTCCTGCTTAGGGATTCCAACACCTTCACTTAGACATGCAGGCAGGCAAATCACCAATGTACATAAAATACAAATAAATAATTAAAGCAACAGCAACAACAACAACAACAAAAAAAAAAAAATCAACCAAACAAAAAATAAAGACAGGGACTCACTAGGAAGCTAACTGTCCTGGAACTCACTTTGTAGACCAGGCTGACCTTGAATTCACAGAGACCCACCGGCTTCTGCCTCCCAAGTGCTGAGATTAAAGATGTGCACCACGACGTCTGGCTCTAATTATTTTCTTAAACAATATGTATCCTGTCTCACATTTCAAATCATTCTTTGGGACTTGAGGATGTAACTCCGGGGTGGAGCACTTGCTTAGCATGCCCAAGGTCGAGGGTTGAGAAGTTTTTTGTTTCTCAAGACAAGGTTTCTCATAGCTTTGGAGCCTGTCCTGGAACTAGCTCTTATAGACGAGGCCTGCCTCTGCCTCCCAAGTGCTGGGATTAAAGGCATACTGCCCAGCAGGTTGAGAGGTTTATTTATTTGATTTTTCGAGAGAGGGTTTCGCTGTAGCTTTGGAGTCTGTCCTGGAACTAGCTCTTGTAGACCAGGCTGGTCTTGAACTCACAGAGATCTGCCTGTTTCTACCTTCTGAGTGCTGGGATAAAGGTGTGCACCACCACCACCTGGCTGGTTGAGAGGTTTCAAAGGGCTAGCCTGGTTGAGAGGTTTCAAAGGGCTAGCCGTATCTTCCGTGTCTGTGGGTTGAGGGGGATGCTCTGTAGCAGCTGTGGGTTGCAGCTGGTGGCTAAATCTCCTGTCCCCTCCAGGGGTCCCCGTGCTCCACCTCATCGCCACGCCCTTCCCTGCTGTGTGGCACACACCTGCTGACACCGAGGCCAACCTTCACCCACCTACTGTGCACAACCTGAGCCGCATCCTCGCTGTGTTCCTGGCTGAGTACCTGGGACTCTAGCCTGCAGACTGATACCTTGGAAGGATCTTACACCGAGCTGGGGATATGACAGGGGCACCTTGAGCAGTGCAGGGTAGCCAGGCTCACCTCAGGTGTCTGCTACAACCATCTCAAGTCACTTCATTTCAAGGACATGCTAGGAACACTGAGGGTATGAGACAGTCAAAGGAACAGTTTTGGCTTCTGTCCTGAAGTAAATGGACTTGTCTGGAAGTTCCCAGGGACCAAATAATGTGTCATGGGCTGGCACCAAATGAATCCTGTGTGGCTAATGTTTTATGTCAGTTCATTAGTCAGAATAGCAGCCTTGCTATTGCATGGACCCGGTTCTGTTCTGAGTCTCACATGGGCATGGGCCTGAGGACAGCAATGAAGACTCATGGGACTGAGCTTAGAGCTCCACGTTCTGCTTGACCCAGGGGTTAAGGGGGAAGAAAGGCCACCATTCCCACTGGGAAATGACATTCAATGAGTTTCCTCACTCAGAAGGTGAGATCTTCCTGGCTTAGAGAGAATGAAGTGGTTCTTGAAGTATCTCACAGTGGAACCCCTTTATGAGGAGGTATTTCAAATGAAGTTGCCTCAGATGATATTTTGGGAATACTGGGTTTGAGACTGGGAATGGATTGAACAGACTACACCCCCTAAATCCAGTCAACCCCAGAGCACCATTTCCTTTTGTAGAACAAGCTTGCTATGAAGGCACAATAGATCAATAAATCTGCCTGCCTCCACCTCCACTGGGATTAAAAGTACAAGTCACCATACCCAGCACTATTTTTAAGAAAAGATCTAACTGTATAGCCCTGACTTCCCCAGAACTGTGCAGTCTAGGATGGCCAGAAACTCATAACCCTCCTACCCAGTCCTGAGTGCTAGTATAACAGGTTTGTTTTTTCCTCACCCTAGCCAGTCAAGAGTGGTTTACCAAGTCCAAGTAAATAAACAGGCTTCCAAGATCCACCCCAAACCCAATGAACCAAGACCAATCGGAGGGGCTGGGACAAGAATAACAACAGAGTGTGCGTCTTGGAGTTCACTCACCTTTAATCTCACCACTCAGGAGGCAGAGGCGGCTGGACCTGAGTTCAAGGCCAGCCTTATCTACAGAAAAAACACCTAGATAAAGGACCAAAACCCAAAATACAGAAATGTAATAAACATTTGTGGGAATCTCATCAACTGTATTTAGAGCACCTTATCATTAAGGCCAGTTTGGTGAATGCAGAGTTAGTTGTTTAGCAAACGTGCCTGAGGAAAACTAGGTGCTGGGAACCAGGTTGAAGGGCAGCTCAGCCACCTAGAAGTTGCGAAGCCACCCTTTTATCTCAGTAAGATGGAGTGTTAATGAGGGTGTCATTGGTTTTCCTGGTGAACTGCAGACTCATGGGAACCTGAACCATAACCCAGGACATTAGACCCAAGTGTGATGACACAGTTCGCTTAAGTCGGATTAGTGAGACCCTATCTCAAATGGGTTGAAAATATAGCTTAGCGCCTACAGCACCTCCCAGAATCACCCAGTGAGGGGCTGGGTGTGTGGCTCAGTAACAGAGCCCCTGCCTAGACTCCCCCAGTGAGGGGCTGGGATGTGACTCAGTGGTAGAGCCCCTGCCTAGAATCCCCCAGTGAGGGGCTGGGGTGTGGCTCAGTGGTAGAGTCCCTGCCTAGAGTCCCCCAGTGAGGGGATGGGGGTGTGGTTCTGGGCTCCATCCTCAGCACCACACACACAGCACCAGACTATGTACATGAGGTGACGTGAAATGAATTTTATGGGCCTGTGAAAAGGCTTCAGTGGGTAGAAGTACTTGGTGTATGACTGATGACCTCAGCTTGATCCCTGGAATCTACAGTGGAAGGAGAGACCTGCACATGTGTGCTGTACCATGTGTACACCTGTCCTGTTGTGGAAAATTAGTTTAAGATGTGTTACACTTGTTTATGCTGTGGAATATTTGTTTGTTGCATTTGTTTGACTCTGTGAAGCTGTGTTACTCTGTCTACCTATAACATCTGATTGGTCTAATAAAGAACTCTTTGGGGACCTGCCAACCAGCTCCTAAATAAATACAAGAGACTTATTCTTCTTACTTATGAATGCCCGGCATTAGCTTGGCTTTTTTCTAGCTAGCTTTTCTTAAATTAACCCACTTCTCTTCTTTTACATTTTGCCTCTGGGCTTTTATCTTTCTGTATTCTATATACCTTTCTTTCCTTTTTACTTCGTGATTGTTTGTGTGGCTGGCCCCTGGCATATTGCTCTTCTTTTCTGGCTCCTTGCCCTTTCTTTTTCTCTTATTTATTCTCTCTGCCTGGAAGCCCCACCTATCCCTCTCTTGCCTTGCTATTGGCCATTCAGCTCTTCATTAGACCAATCAGGTGTTTTATACAGGCATAGTAATACAGCTTCAGAGTTAAACAAATACAACATAAAAGAATGCAACATATCTTTGCTTCATTAAACAAATGTTCCAAAAGAACTACCCACACATCTCACACACATGCAAAAAATATTGAGAATGGAAAAACCTTGTTTTTAACTTGAATTGCATCCCTGGCATATCTGTATATAAAGATGAGGAGCTGTGGAGTTCTGATGAATGAGAAGTATTCACAGCCCATGTAGCACCTCTATCATGAAGGGGACTTCCCTTCCTGCACAATAGGGACAGCAGGAATTCCTGCAGTCATAGACCACAGCGATGAGGGTCACTGCTGAAGCACCACGGAATGATGAGGGTCACGTACTTACCCAACACTGGACTCTTGAGAGAAGTAAAAATGATCTTGTTTAAGCCACTACTATTTCGAGATGTTTAAAAAATACTAAGTGAGAGATGATAGGAGTGTTCAATACTTGCAGGCAGAGGGCTGAGGTGGGACCCCTACCCCTTTCCATCCCCCCCTGCCAAGCACAGACCTATGGATGTCCTGTTACCAAATCCCTCCCTTAACATCACACAGCCCAGTCTGGCCCTGCTTTATAAATACTGATTTTATAGAAAGGACTAGTTCAAAATTGGTCAGATGCCACACACTAGAAGCTTCCAGAACCACAATGAAAGAGAAAACAAACAAAATAAAAACCCCCAAAAGAGGAAAAACCTCAAGCAAAAAGATCTTGAATTGCCAGGTGGTGGTGGCACAGGCCTTTAATCCCAGCACTCAAAAGGATTAGGCAGGCGGATCTCTGAGTCTGAGGCCAGCCTGGTCTACAGAGTTCGTTCCAGCATAGCCAGGACTACACAGTAAACCCTGTCTCGAAAAGCCAATAGAAAAATAAATTAAAAAAAAGATCTTGGACCAAACTGCCCAAAAATCAAGGCCTACCTAAGCAAAAGGTGTGGGGAGAACAGTGTAGAGACCCGAATGCCTCACTGAGTACCCATGTGGAAGGAAGATCACCTGGAATTCAGACCCACTGTCCTTGCCCTCTGAGGCAAGGGGTTTCACAGCTTTACTGGGGAGTCAGTGACAAGAGCTTAAAGAGGGATCTCTATACTTGAGGGGATCTCACCCACTTTCCCTGGGGTGGGGGAGGGAGAGACTGATAGTTCAGAAGAAATCATTTTTTTATTTAATGAGGAAAACATCTAGAAATGGTGGGCTGGCTCCTGCCTCCAAAAAGTGCTGACTTGAGTTGCGAGCTAATGGCCTGGAGGTGTCAACCTTAGAGACTGCAGCCCTTTGGGTGAACAAAGAACTCGGGGAGGCACAGAATGGGGAGGGCCAGCTTGAGGAATGCCTCAGGTGGTACCAAAATTAGCTGCCATCTGCTCCCTGCTGGTGGGTCCCTGGGGTAGAGAGACTCAGGGATGGGGTTGGGGCTTGATGGAGGCGCAATTGAGATGCTGATAAAAAACAAAAAATACAACCCTCTCTGAGGGTCCATGGCCCTGGCTCTGAAGAGTAGAAAACCAACAGGGGTCAACCAGGGTATTTACCCACTGACCCCCAAACCTGGTCCCAGTTCTAGCGGGAGATCAACGCTGGATGGACTGGTAGGTGTTGGCTGGTGACTCAGTCCTGGTCCCCAGCTCCCAGCAAAGCGGGAAGGGGTTAGGTACAGCAGGTGTCCCCTCATCCCCAGGCTTCACCTTCCCTCTTCCCGGCCAGCTCGGCCCCCTCCCACTCCATTGCACGGCAGCACCCAGTTGTTGTCGTGCAGGCCCAAGCGACAGCCTGGTGTCTCGCGATCGGCTCTGCGGCAGCACATCCAGTAGGAACGTCCGTAAGGCAGGTCATGGTGGTAGGGCTTGGGGTGCCAGCGGCAGAGTGACACGTCGCCCTTCTCATATCTCTTGCGGCACTGCTTACAAGGGTCATCACGATAGAGTGGGTCCCGGTTCCAGCGCGAGTCCGTAGCACGCACACCAAAAGCCTCGATGATGCCCTTGAAGTGGTGGCAGGTACACTTAAGGGCTGCCAGGGCTCGGGTGGGCAGGAAGCTGAAGATCTTGACCAGCACATGCTCAGGCAGCAGCAGCATGTACTGCCGTGGCTCCAGAAGTCGCTGGATCTTGAAGCGAATCTCCAGGAAGTCATGCGACACGTGCCGGTACAGGCGGCACAAGGAGGTGTCCGTTGTGCCCTCCGAATCGTCGGGACCTGGCACTGTGCTTGGTGTATCAGCTGGGGGTGGCTCAGGCGGCCCTTCTGGACCCCGGGACTGGAGGAAAAAGAGCTGGCCAGGTGGGGGTGGCTCCTCAGGGCTCACTGTCAGGCAGACAGTCTCTTCCTTTACGTTCTTGGTGCCATCTTTGCCAAAGAAGATGCACTCATCCACCACACCTGTCACTACCACATCCACATGGAACCCTGATGCTCCACAGTCCCTGGCAGGGGGTGGAGGAGGGGCTGGGGGGGTATCCTCAGGCCTGGCCGGGGTTGGTGTCTCACCTTCACTGGCTTCGTCTGCCCTGGCCAGGAGGAACTCCATGTTGCTGGGAAGGGCATCCCTGGAGGGGCTGATAAGCTGGTACAAATCACAAGTGATTTTGTCTTTGGCTCGAGCCCCAGGACCAGGACTACCAGGGTAGGGACTACCAGGCTGGCCTCCACTCCAAGTAGGTAAATTGCCATCTGGCGAACAGGGCTCTCGGCCATTGGAGATGCGGAAAGCGATCCGCACTTCACCAGGCCCAGGACCTGGCCGCTCCTCCTTGCGGAGACCCTTGGTTGGAGGGCTGTCCCGCTGGGCCTCAAAGTGGGCCACTGCCTCAGCAACTCGGCTACAGTCACCACCACCAGATCGTCTTTCTGACCCTAACCCCTTGGCTGGTCCCCCCTGCTCAGCTGACACGAAGACCACCGGAGCTGGGGTGGTGGGGCGTGGGTAACTCTGTAGGGCCAAGGCAGCTCTCTGTTCAACCAGGGCCACCATTTCCGCTACGGAGAGCAGGTCTACATCATCTCCGGATGTCGTGGGAGCCCCCTCAGTGGCAGGAGCTCCTCTTCTGCCCCCTGGGTCTGGAGGAGCCTTGGTGGGCTCAAGGCAGCGCCTCCTCCTCTTGGCTTTGGAACTATCACTGCCCCAGTGCCCTTTGACCTTCATAGAGCTAGCCCGGCTACCTCCACCACACTGGTGGGCCACAAAGAAGGCCACCTTTTCCTTTGTGTTTCCAGGCTTGATTACATACCACGTGTCCAGCAGGACTCGACCCTCATAGCCAGCAGCTGTTGAAGAGAGAAGTGGAGCATGCTGGGAGGTGGGGGCTTCTGCAGCCAAGGTAGGTGGTGTGTTCTCTGAGTGTGCAGGTCCGTGGTCAGGCTCAGTTCCACTGCTTGTGTCAGAGCAGGCTGGCGGCTTGAGGGCTGTGGAAGGTGGGCGTGGCTGGTTCTGGGAATATGTGCCGAAGGGGCGGGGGCACCAGAGCTGGAAGGGCAGGAGGCTGCCCCTGTCCATGCTGGGAGATGATGGCAAATAGCAGGTAGTCACTCAATCTCAGGATGTTGGTAGTAGGGAGCTCCACATGCCACCTGGAGACATAGAAGGTTGAAACATTGTTGTGGAATATTGGTCTAGTAAAGAGCAAGGCACGAGAAAGACAGGTGGGGCTGGTGAACGGAGAGAATAAATAGGAGAAATCTTGGAAAGAAAAAAGATCAGGTAGTAAGAGAAGAACAAGGAGAAGAGGACTCCAGGGGTCAGCCACCCACCTACACACACAGCAAGTCACAGAGTAAGATAAAGAAAGGTACACAGGGGCTGGGCGGTGGTGGCGCACGCCTTTAATCCCAGCCCTCAGGAGGCAGAGGCAGGCAGATCTTTGTGAGTTCGAGGCCAGTCTGGTCTACAAGAGCTAGTTCCAGGACAGGCTCCAAGCTATAGAGAAACCCTATCTCAAAAAACAAAAACAACAACAACAACAAAAAGGAACACAGAAATAGAGAGGTAAAAGCCCAGAGGCAAAAGGTAAATGGGATAATTCAAGTTAAAAAAGCTGGCTAGAAACAAGTCAAGCTAAAGCTGGGCATTCCTAAGTAAGAATAAGCCTCTATGTATTTGTCTGGAGCTGGGCAGCAGGCCCCAAAGAGTAAAAAGTATAAAAACAACCAACAACAGAGCACTGAGGTCACTGCCTTTCTTCCCAAGACCACCCAATCTTAACTTCTGCACAAGGGACAAATCAAATTAGAGCACTGAGAACTGTATGCCACACACAGTAAAGTGTGCAAGCTGAATCCCAGCAAGGGAGGAGTAAGGTCAGGAGTGGAAGGCCATCCTGGGCTACATGAGTCCCATCTTAAATGGACAGACAGACAGACACACACACACACACATACTCTCAAACTCTCTTCTTTGGCTAGAGGCATGGCTGGTAAGAGCCACTGCCTGGAATCCCCCAGTAAAGGGCTAGGAGCATGGTTCTACGGTACAGCAACAGCACTTGCCTGACTTTACCTAGTGAGGGTTAGGGCTATGGATCGAGGCAGCCTCTCTACCAGTCTGGATTTTGTTCCTAGCATGGCCAAGAAAGTAAAATCCTAGCCCAGTCACGAATCAGGTAAGCAGAGGGATGCAGCCAAACCTTTATATATTTATTAGTTTGGTTTTTTTTTTTTGAGACAGCATTTCTCTTTGTAGCCTTGGTGTCCTGAAAGTCACTCTGTAGACCAGGCTGGCTTGGAACTCAAGAGATCCACCTGCCTTTGCCTCCCAAATGCTGAGATTAAAGGCATGACCTGGCCTGGCCTTAACCTTCAGTGAAAGTACCAGGCAGACTAACCAAGCTCCTCCTTACACTTGTACCTCTAGTGGCCAGTTCCAGAAAAGGCAGACATTCCCAGCCTTGTCCACAGAAGCCAGAGTACACACAGAGGGGTAAGGTGATTAGTCAAGGGAGGAAAATCTGAAGCCAGAACCAGACAAACCCTTAAGAAATTTACTCTCCACTTGTTTTGGGTCATAAGGTTCTTGGGTATGATGACGGTTCTTTTTTTTCTTTTTGAGACTTGGTCTCACTATAGCCCAGGCTCATCTTAAACTCAGCAATCCAATCTTCCTGTTTCATTCTGGGAATACAAGTGTGAGGCAGGCACTATACTCATCTTTTTTTGAGATTATTCTTTGAGACAGGATCTCACTCTTTAGCCCCAGCTGTCAGGCTCCTAGCATCCCAGGTTCCGGGATCACAGGCCTGGGCTGCAGCATCTGCTGAGAGCACCCTTAATAATGATTTTTCTTTTTGTTCTACAAGAATTTGCACACATCAGCTAATCTGGAGGCAGTTTTGTTAATGAGTCTGATGGCAGCATTTTCTGTTCCACTTTCTACTTACCAGTAAGTAGCAGACGCTTACAAAGATGTCTCCTGCATCTTTGGCCCATCTTCTTCCAGACATGTCAACATGAAAACCCTCCACCAGGGTATGGTGTTGAGTGCCTATAAACCCAGATCTGGGGAGGTGATGAGCACCTAAGATCCCAGATCTAGGGAGGTGATGAGTGCCTATGATCCCAGATCTGGGGAGGCTGAGGCAACAAGATAGAGAATTCCAGGCCAGTCTGGGCTACATAGCCAGACCTTGTCCAAAAAAGAAACAAATAAACAAAAGGAAAAAATAACCCTTCGCAAAATAAACTTGAATATGCCAATGAAACAGAAAGGTAAGCAAATTACAAGCCAAGAATTAAGCCCAGCCCACTGCCTATCTTTGTAAACTAAATTCTATGGAAACAAATGATAGCTGCTTTCATTCTACAAGAGCAGAACTGCATCAATGATTGTACGGCCTGAAATAATTCATTACCTGGTCTTTTATAGAAAAAGCTGGGCTGGAGAGATGGCTCAGAGGTTAAGAGCACTGGTTGTTCTTCCAGAGGTCCTGAGTTCAATTCCCAGGAACCATATGGTAGCTCACAACCATCTATAATGGGATCTGGTTCCCTCTTAGGGCACGCAGGCATACATGTAGTGCAGAACACTGTATACATTAAAAAAAAAATCCAATCCCCACCCCCCCCAAAAAAAGAAAAGAAAAAATTAGCTGATGCTGTAGGATGGACTGCCCACTCTAAATCTAGACAAATCTGACACACTATTATATTAGGGACCTGCAGATGCCATTCAAAACTCGGCTCCAAGTCACCAGTAACAGAACCCCAACCTTAAGACTCCTTACTCAACCTCACCCTCATTTCCAGAATCTTCATGTCCTACCCCCAAGTATTCTAACTTTTTCAAATTTTATTTTAAAATTTCAACCCCCTCCTCAAGACCTTACCAAGCCTGGTGGCATATGTCTGTAATCTCAGCACTTGGGAGGCTGGGGCATGAGACAGGAGGTTAAGGATTCTGGGTTTGCAATATTATATAAAAAAATCCTGTTCCTCCCACCCCCAAATCTAAGTGGTGCCGGCCTTTAATCCCAGTACTCGGGAAGTAAAAGCTTATGGATCTCTGAGTTCAAAACCATCCTGGTCTATCTAGTCCTAGGCTAGCCAGGGCTACTTAGAGACCCTGGCCCATAAATAAATAAGAATGAGAGTTGAAGAGATGGCTCAGCAGTTAAAAGCACTTGCTGCTCTTGCAGAGAACCCAAGTGTGGTTCCCAGCACCCACAGAGTGGCTCTCTGTAACTCCTGTTCCAGAGGATCCATCTCCTCTCCGCCGGCAACAGACACATATGTGGGACACAGATATACACACACAGGCAATACAATACATATAAAACTTTAAAAAAAACCAAAATAATAAATCAAAACAAATAGAAAACGCCCTCCAGCACAGAGACGCCAAATCACAAATAACTTTTCAGACATCCGAAGACACACAACAATACCCGAATCTCACAGGTCTCCTGACATCCTCCGCTCATTCCCGATACCGACCCTTATTCTTCCCCTTCATTCCCCAAGAGCTCCCGATCCTTGAAAGAACTCAGACATAAAAATACCCCATTTAAAACGAACCCCAAATCAAATAAATGTCAGCAGTCCCTAATGAAACCGAGTGGTACAACAGCAGCCGCGTGTCCCGCACGCTCCAGCAGGCTCTTAGGCACTGCTCCGACATCGCTGCTCTGCAGACCCCGGGAGCGCGCAGTCTCCGCAGCTCCCACTTGCCGACCGGCCACAGAAAGGAAAGTGCCCTCCTGTCCTAGGTCACACGGAGAGGAAGGACTCAAGCCCAGGCATTCTGGCCCCCGAACCCCCAAAGGACACCTCTAAAACACAACCAAGCCTACGACGTTACAAAATAACCCCAGCCCAAGGTGTTTCTTTAGCTCCCGGGACCCCTAAAGTATCCTCTCCACCCCCTCAACTTCCCCAAACGCTCAATTAAACGCTTCAATGCAAAAAGGTGCCCCCAAGTTCTGGACCCGCCTCCTCCTCGACGGAATCCTCCGACCCCCTCAGGCGACCTCCCCCCCCCCCCACCACCCTGCTCTCTCTCTCTCTTTCTTTCATCCTCTCTCTCCCCCCCCCCCCAAAAAAAACCGGACACGCCCCCTCCCCCCCCCCGCGCTTACCGCAGCGCCTCCTCCAGGCGGCCGGGAGAATGGCTGCCCACAAGCATGCGCACCGGAGCCCCGCGGGCCCACCCCCTCGCGCGGGCTGGCGCGCGGTGCGCCCCGCCCCGCCCCTTTGTTGACAGACGCGCGCGTGACGGCCCCAGCCAATGAGCGGCCACGGTTCAGAGCCGTGCCCATATAAGGAAGGCACTGGCGAAGGGGCCCCCAACTTGGAAAACAGGAGGAGTAGGCGTGAGGTGACGGGAGGGGGCGGGCAGGATGGAAACAGCCCGAAGTAAGGGAGTGGGGACAAATTCCCACACTCCAGGACTGCCGGATGGAGAAGCCGGCGGGGACACCGATCGCCACACTCAAGGAGAGGAGAACTATCCAACGTTCCCTTGAAACAGGAGCCCTGATGGACGCAAGAGATTTAAAGGGCCACGCGGCCGGGGACTCGCTGACTCGGGCAGAAAGAAGTAGGGGAGAAAGGTCCGAGAACCTGGCTTTGCTTAACAGTTGTGGCGATGGAAAGGTTTCTCGGTGGGACACCGGAGCATTAGTCACCTAGTCTTTAAAACAAACAGGCAAGTCGGGCGTGACACACCACACCTCAGTAGTTCCAAAGTCTGGGAGGCTGAGGCAGGAAGTTTTTTAAGCCATCCTGGGTTATATAGTGTCACACTGTCGTAAAATAAAAATAAAATCATACAAAAACGGAAGAATAAGCAAAACAACAGCAACAACAAATTTCCCTCAAACCCACAAACAGACAAAGGAGGGGCTGGAGGGATGGCTCAGCGGTTAAGAGCACTGGCTGCTGTTGCAGAGGGCTTGGGTTCGGTTCCAGCACCCGCAGGGCAGCCTCTAAGTCCAGTTCCAGACGTGGCATCCTCTTTTGACCGCTGCGGGCACTGCATGCATGCAGTCCACAGACATGCATGCAGGCAAAACACATACGTATTAAAAAGGGTGGGGGAAAGCTAGCATTTAGGAAATAAAGCTAGGGGGACCAGGAGTTCACCCCCACACACACATCAGACCTTTTTCAAAAGCCAAATTCAAAATCAAAGAACAAAGGCTAACCCTGTACTGGTCACTGGTCCCCATAGTCACTGACTTGACAATCAAGGCTAAGGCTTGGGAACCTGTCCAGTCTCCTACGAGGCTCTTCAAACCTCTACACTCACTACTGGAAAACAACAGGAAGTCACACAATAATGACTTTTAAGTTATCTTAAAATTACAGCAGATATCTTGTGTTGTTTCTGGCCTATGCCAGGCTGATTCAAGACAAACCCAAAGGTGGCTTTCAGGGCAGTGCAAGTGGCTGGAGAGCTGTTCAGCGGGTAAGGACATTATGGTTTTTTTTTTTTTATAAGAGCCACGAGCTTCACAAATCTCCAACTTTAAGGATTTATTTTTACTACTTTTAAAGTGTGTGTGACTGTGTATGTGCATCTGAGCGCAGGCATCCATAGTCCAGTTGAGGGCGCTGGAGTTACAGGCACTGTGAGCCACCTGATGTGTTGGGAACTTAGGTCCTCTGAAAGAGCAGCCAAACCATTTCTCCAACCCTATAATCCACAATTTTAATGGAAACCACAAACATGCCTGTCACAGGAGATTGCCTGAGAAAGTGAAGCTGATAGGACGACCTCACACTCTGCACCCTTATTAAGTGCCCCCCAATAATTAGAGAATGCACATTCCCATACCCTGATACACAGAGTTGTCTGCAAAACCTTGCCCTTGACATGCACAGAGGTCCTCCTGCAGGCTGGTCCTGGATGCATAGGATACAGAGATGACACTGGGCTCACCAGAAATAGCTCAGAGGGAAGGGGAAAGACACCCACTTTATGCAGTTAGTGGCACAGCACTTAAAACGAACTCATTTATTCTCATCTCTCTCTAGGGTCTCACTCTGTAGTCAGCCTGGCCTCAGCCTCTTGAGCACTGGAAGCCCAAGCGTGCTGCACAACCAGTGTGTTTCATTTTTAAGTCTTTATTTGAGGTCTGTGTATGGCATATGTATGTGTTTGTGTGGGAGTGTGTAAGTGTGCTTGGAAATGCACATGAGTGTGTGTGGTGGACAGAGATCAACACCAGGTGTCTTGATCACTCAGCATATGTCTTTTCTCCCACCCCGAAACTAGGTTTCTCTGTGTAGACAGGATGTCCTCAAACTCAGAGATTCTCCTGCTTCTCGACTGCTGGGATTAAAGGCATGCGCCACCATCACCATGGGCTGCACATGGTTTTTGAGGCAGGATCTCTCACTGAAACCCAAGCTCAGTAGTAGCTTTATTAGGCTGACAATGAGACTCGAGTAAAAATGTCTCTGCCTGCCATCCTTCCAGTATTGTGGTTACAGATGCACATAGCTGTGTCTGGCTTCTTAGGTGGGTGCTGGGGATCTGAACCCAGGTCCTCAGGCTTGCAGAGCAGGCACTTTACCCGCTAAGCCATCTCCCCACACTGTGTTCGTTCTTTTTCTTTTTAAAATGGATCTAAGACCTATTTTAAAATCTGTGTATGTGTGTCTGTATATGGGTATGTGCACAGGTAAGGGTGCCCAAGGAGGTCAAAAGAGGGTGTCAGATCTCCTGGAGCTAGAGTTACAGACGGCTATGGACCACCTGCCATGGGTGCTGGAAACCAAACTCAGGTCCTCTGCAAGAACAAGTGCTCTTAATGTTGAGCTGCCTCTCGAGCCCAGCCCATCCGTGTCTTATTTTCCTGTTGTGTCAAAGACTAGGAAGGAAACTCAGGCAGACAAAGTAGGCAGCAGCCTCTGCCCTCAGACTGCTCACACTCACTGGGCACAGATGGTATCACTCAGTCCTCCAGGTCACCACACTCACTGTTCCCTGTCACCCTTTACCTCCTTCAGGACTGGCTCAGAAGTCACCTCTGGGAAGCCTTTGATCCAAGTCCACAGCTTCTGCCCAACAGAACACAAACTCAATCCTCATTGGCTTTTCTCCTTCCTGTCTGTCACTATCCACGGTACTAAGCACTTTGCTTACAAAGTGTGCTGTCCGCCTCTCCTTATTAAAATGAAAGCATAAGGGCTGGCGTTTCCCTTTGTTTCATTATATAGCACAAGTTCATCTCAAACTGGAGGTGCTCCTGCCTCAGTTTCCTCAAGACTGGAATGACAGACATGTACAGACATAGCTGGCTTGGCTGGCATGCAGCTTTCTTTCTCTAGTGTCTGCCTTGAAGCATGGCATCAGGTGCCAGCCCCTGGGAACAAGCAAGAAACACAGGTCCCAGGTCCTTGCCTCAGGGTGGCTGACTGCAGCGTGCATTTCACGGACAGCCCAGGTCACCATGTGCAATGCATTGTCTGGATGAGTGGACAGCCTGATGGCTGGCCAGCTTTTAAGTGTCTACTGCTGGAGACATCTGAATAGCTGGCCACTCCAACCAGCTGCCCTGAAAAATCCCATCCACCCCCTCAGGGGCCTTCACAGGCTATCCTTGACCTCTTCCTCACCACGCTGCTTCTAACACCTGTCCCCGTCACTGCTCAATGGCAGTGGGCTGGGCAGATGAGAGGCTCTCTCCCCTCCAGCCTGTGACTGGGATCTCTCCTTGTAGCTATCCTGGATCTCTGAGTAGCTCACTGGAGGCCTCAGGGTCTACAAGCTGCTTACCCACGCCCCTCCCAGCTCCTGCTTTTGGCCTGCGAGTCAGGTCTCCTCTCTCCCTCTGAGGTCCAGCTACCACACCATCCTCAGTCTAGTCCTACCATGTTAAGACTTGAGGTGTGCAGGGCTAGCCAGCTTTTTTGGTGCCCGTTAGGTGGGGAAACAGGGACACAGGGAGGCCACCTAACCTGGTTTCTGTCTGCTTCCAGGATCTCTAGATGCCGGAAGGTTTGGCTAGCTCTGCCCTGAAGATTATTAGTCAGAAACAACTTTGAAGCCAGCCCGATGGCCCCATCTGTAATTCCAGCTCTCTGGGAGGCCGAGAGAGGAGGATCACAAGTTCAAAGCCAGGCTGGGTAACTACTGGGGCAACTTGCCTCCTAAAGAAGGCGAAGGTGTGGCTCAGCAGTGCAGCACATGCCTTGAATCCACCAGTGTGCGGCTCAGGGCTAGAATGTTTGCCTAGCAGACAGACAATCCTGAATTCCATCCCCAGAATAGAAATAAATAAGTAAAGCAGGGTCCTGGAGAGATGGCTCAGCAGTTAAGAGCATTGGCAGCGGGGGCTGGAAAGATGGCTCAGAGGTTAAGAGCACTGACTGCTCCTCCAGAGGTCCGGAGTTCAATTCCCAGCAACCACATACATAATGAATAAATAAATCTTAAAAAAAAAAAAAAAAAAAAAAAAAAAAAAAAAAAAAAAAAAAAAAAAAAAAAAAAAAAAAAAAAAAAAAAAAAGAGCATTGGCAGCTCTTGAAAAGGATCCAGGCTCAGTAAAAGGATCCAGGCTCAGTTCCCAGCACACACATCACAACTGTCCTTGGGTCCAATTCCTGAAAATCTGGTGCCCTCTTCTGGTCTCTCTAGGCACCAGGCACATGCACAGTGTACACGTACATATGCAGACAAAAAAACCAACCCCCCAAAAAACAAACAAAAAAAAACAAAAATCCACTCATATACATAAAATATTTGTTATTGTTTTTTGAGACAGAGTCTCCCTCTGCAACCCAAGCTAGCCTGAAAGTCACTATGAGAGTTCAGGCTGTGTTGGAACTCCAAGCAATCCCCCTGCCTCAGCCACCTCACTGCTGGGATCACAGGTGTGTATATATAATCATACCAGAGTGGTCCTCTTTAGTTCACATTCTGAAATGAAACTGATCTCCAGGAATCACAAAAAACAAACCAGGAAACTTTCCCCTTACTGCAGGATCCTGAGCCTTGCTTATTCATTTAACAGAGAGAGGTGGTTCCATGGTTAAGAGCACTGGTTGCTCTTGCAGAGAACCCAGGTTTAGTTCCTAACACTCACTTGGTAGTTCATAACTGCCTGCAATTCCAGTTCCAGAGGATCCAGTGTCCTCTTCTGGCCTCTCAGGGCACAACACACATATAGTGTGCAGGCATACACAAAGGTAAAACATTTATACACATTATAATCCCAGCACTTGGGAGGCAGAAGCAAATGGATCTTTGTGAGTTTGAGGTCAGCCTGGTCTACAGCTAGAGTTGTTATACACAGAAACCCTACCTCAAAACAAACAAAACAACAACAAAAACATATTGTAGCCAGGTGTGGTGGTGCATCCTTTAATCCTGGCACTTTGAGCCAGACAGAGGCAGGCATATCTCTGTGAGTCTGAGGCTAGCTTTATCTACACAGTGAATCCAGGCCAGCCAGAGCTATACAGTGAGATCCTGTCCAAAAGAAACCTACACTGTGACAGGTGTAGTTCCAGGCACTGGAGACACAAGGAACAGGAGACAGAAATCCCTGTCCTCAAGGGGCTGACGTACTAATTGGATAAAGGGAAAATAAACACAATGGCAGTTTCCAGGTAGAAATAAACGCACAGGCAAGGGAGGGGGCTGGGCTGGATGGAGGGTGAGCTTCTGATCTCAAATTGAGCAGTGAGTGAGGCTGTGAGGAGGCCATATCCTCTTCTGCATGAAGGGACATACCACAAGCAAACTTCAGCAAAGCTGCGCTCTGAGGAGGAAGACGGCTTTGCCACTGCAGCCAGTAACATGCTGTCACAAATGGAATACAACAAAGGTGACAGTGACTTTAGAGGCAGATGTGATATTGGATGCCTGAAAACTCAACATTCTGGAAGCCAAGGTGAGAAGATCCTGGAGAGCTCAAGGCCAATGATACAGAGTAAAACCCTGTCTTAAAACAACAGGGAAGGGGGGCTGGAGAGATGGTTTAGTGGTTAAGAGCACTGACTGCTCTTACGAAGGATCTGGGTTTAATTCCCAGCACCTACATGGCAGCTCACAACTGTCTGTGACTCCACTATCTGAAACCCTCACACAGACATAAATGCAGCAAATACTAATGCACATAAAGTGAAAATATGCTTTTTTAAAAAAAAGTCAGGGAAGGGTCAGGGTGGGAGAGCTGGCTTTGAGGTTAAGAGCACTGGTTGCTCATGCAGAGGACCAAGGTTCAATTCCCAGCACCCACAAAGGCAGCTCACAACCATTTTTAACTCCAGTTCCAGCAGACTGGACACCCTCTTCTGACCTCTGCAAGCACTGCCTAGACATGGTACAGACATACACAAATGCAGGTCAACATGCAAAACACTTAAGTACAAATAAATATCGGTAGCTTAGTCTATAAAGTGCTTGACAGACAGGCATGAGTGTTGGCAGAGGCTGCCAGTTCGTTTCCCAACTGCCCTGACTCTTAATAGTCACACAGAAACCATATTGTTTGCAATACTGTTTGGCCAATAGCTTAAGTGTATTTTTAGCTAGCTCTTATATCCTGAACTAACCCATCTCCATTAATCTGTGCATCACCGCGAGGTCGTGTCCTACCAGCAAAGTTTCAACAGGCTACTGCGCAAGCCTCTGTCTCCTGTGGCGGCTACATGGCTTCTCGCTCACTCCGCCTACTCTCTCCTCTATCTGTTTGGAGCTCCCACCTTGCCCTATTCTGTTAAGCTACTGGCAGAAACAGCTTTATTCATTAACGAATAAAAGCAAAACATAGACAGAAGGACTTCTCACACCACACGAGGACCTGGACTTCATCCCCACCATCATGTAAAAAGTAGGGCATGGTGGGATACATTTGTAACCCCGCCACTGCAGGTACCGAGATATGCTTGCTGGCACATACACGTACACAAACACACAGATACACACACATGTGCGCTGAGAAAGCCTCAGACAGGCACAGGCTGAAATTCAATGTAAGATTTTTTTTTTCGAGACAGGGTTTCTCTGTGGTTTTGGAGCCTGTCCCGGAACTAGCTCTGTAGACCAGTCTGGTCTCGAACTCACAGAGATCCGCCTGCCTCTGCCTCCCAAGTGCTGGGATTAAAGGCGTGCGCCACCAACGCCCGGCTCAGATTTTTTTTTTTTTAAGCCAAAAGAGCATGGTACCTGGAGCCTCTGATCCCTGCTCTTGGGACTCAGAGGCAGGAGAATCAATGTCATCCTCACTACACAGTGAGTTCAGCCCCAGCCTGAACTACATTAGAGCCTATCTTAGAAGAAGAAATAAACAAGCAATCACTATGTGTGGCAGCACAGACTTATAATTCTAGCGCAGTAGTGGCTGGGACAGGATGACCAAAGGTTTGGGGCCAGCCTATGCTGCATAATGAGACCCTATTTCAGAAAACACATACAATCTCAACGCTCAGTCAGCAGAGGTAAGCAGATCTCCCTGAGTCCTGGGCTAGCCTGGTGTACTTACATACTGAGTCTCAGAGCAGTGAAGCTATGACGTTAGAATATACCTCACGAAACAAATGGAAACAAGGAGGGGAGGAGGCAAAATAATTTGGAAATGTCACTTGTTTTTCTAAGACAAACAAATGGAGGGTATGGGGGAAAAGTATCAGCTCAACCAGCTGTAACACACAGGGACAAGTGATTTAGGCCAAATCAATAGGTGTTCAGATAATTTAAGAAAAAGTGGAGAGGCCAGGTGGTGGTGGCGCACGCCTTTAATCCCAGCACTTGGGAAGCAGAGGGAGGTGGATCTCTGTGGGTTCAAGGCCAACCTGGTCTACAGTTGAGTTCCAGGACAGTCAGAGCTACACAGAGAAACCCTGTCTTAAAAAAAAAAAAAAAAAAGCAGAGAGACAATGCTAAAAGTTCTCAGGGTAGGGTTTGGGTGGGTGGGGAGGACACATCCCATAGGCATGACAGCGATGCAAGGACCAGGCACGAGACAGGGTGACACTGACAGCATCAGAGGGACTGAACCCTGAAAACTGCACACAAAGCATAGAGCCCCTGGTGCTGAGAACAGTGTCCTGGCATTATGAAAACAGGGCGATCTGGAGGGCAGAGGCCAGTCTGCCTACCATCCTCTGGCACCTAGCGGAGGATCTGGCCACTTAACGGAGTGAATCCCAAGTCAGCAAGGTAATTCATGGGTATAGGCCCTTGCCGCCAAGCTGACCAACCTGACTTCTATCCTCGGGATGCACTCAGTAGAAGGAGAAAACCCATGCCCACTGACTTCCACTTCCCATAGTACACACTATAAGTATAGACATAATTTTTTAAGTGAACTCCCATCTTTTTCAGATGGCAATCTTCCTCTCCCCTCCTACCTCCCTTTTCCTTCCTTCCTTTCTAGATCATATGTAGCCCAGGCTAGCCTCCAACTTCAGCTCTTCCCACTTCCACATCAGGTGTGCCATCACAACGAGCAGAAATGTATTTTCTTGAAAGAATGAAAACCCCAAGTTGTCACACTTGTTGAGAGCAAAATGCAACAGGCATTTTAAACAAAGGGCCTTATTGTCAGTTCCTGAGGGGAATATCATGGGCTGAGTGTGGTCCCATTTTACATATTAAAAAAAATGGAGGCCAGGTATGGTGAACCATGCCTTTAATCCCCACTCTTGGGAGGAGGAGACAGGTGGATCTCTGTGAGTTTGAGACCAGCTTGGCCTAAATGAAGTTTCAGAACAGCTAAGGCTACATAGAGAGACCCTGTCTCAAAAAAAGAAAGAAAGAAAAAGAAAACTGAGACCAAGAGTGGGAAGGAAGCTCAGCCAAAGTCATGGCGTGCCATTTGGCTCCAGCAGACACCAGAGCTTTTAGCCGTAAGCTTGACTATCAGTCACTGAGCTTATAAACTAAAGGCTCCAAGCAAATGACCCATGCTTGGGCTGCTAAGACAGTTGAACAGCGCTTGCTCCTCTTCTGAGGTTGTGGGTTCAAGTCCCAGCACCTACATTAGGCAGCCCACAATCACCTGTAACTCTAGCTCCTGAGCATCCAACTGACCTCTTCTGGGGCACAAGGACACTGTCCCCCATAACATACACATAAATAAAAAAATAAAGATTAAAAAATAAAAAAACCCAAATTGTTTCAAAGTGAATTACAAAGTTGCTAGACTCCTTAGGGAAGCCCCTTTCCTGCCATGACTAAAATGTTAGAAGCACACACATACCACCACCAACAATGACAACAAGAAAATCAAAAATCAAGTCAAATCAAGCAAAACCCTAACTCAGTTGTCAGCAGTATTTATAACTCACTAGAAGACTTGGGAATTGGGCCAGACTGGGCAAGTGAATTATTAATATTTAGCTGGAGACAGATTGAGTTTCTGAGCACCTTTCTGGGAGTCTTGCTTAGACTTAGAAACCCAGGAATAGGTGGAACTAGAAAAATCAGGTAAGGGGGAGAGGGCAACTTGAGAGCAAAGAGACAACATGCTCAATGCTCCCTCACTGGTTCCTCCATCTTCTTCTTTTTGGTT